GGCATGTCCCTCCCCTTCTGGCTCAGAAACTCCGTTTTCCTGTCTGCAGAATTGCCTCGCTCTCCCTGACCTCCCTGGGGGCTCTCGTGCTCGCGTCCCCTCGAGGGACCCTTAACTCTGACTCTGTTCTCTGCTGCTGCGAAGTGACCGTCTCGCCACCTCCTGGACGCGCCCCCCCGCCCCCCGCCGGACCAGGAGGCAGCAGAGGGGATGCTGCAGGGTGTGGGTCTTGCTAGCCTCCGAGGGTGCCCTTGGGCACATGACTTTCCCCTCTCCGTGCCTCAGTTTCCCCATCTAAACCATTCCTTCCCCGGAATCAGGGGTCTAGAATTATAGCCGGAAGGGCACACCCGTGGTCTCCGGGGACGAAGGACCCGCCCTTCCAGGTCAGCAGGGGGTGCTGGGGTCACAGAGACCTGGCTTGAAATCTCAACTTCCCGCAGTTCCTCGCTGTGTCACCCGGGCAATGACTTCACTTCTCTGTGCCCGTTTCCTCCCCCGCAAAATGACAATTTTCGTTGACTTTTCCTCCCCAGGCATTGAGAGGACCAGGTGGGCCAGTTATCAGGGGTAGCTCGGCCCAGAGTGAATGGGCCCATCTTGTCTCTTCTGAAGGTGGCAAAGGGGTGACAGGGAAGCCCTGGCCTGATGGATAGGGTTAGGGTTAAGGCTGGTAGCGTGGAGATAGAAATGGACATTATTCATTCATTCATTCATTCATTCATTCATTCCTTCTACGCACGGGTCTCATTTAATCTGCTCAGGAATCCTGTGAGGCGGGAGCTGTTATCACGCACAATTATAAAATCACAGCGAAGGCACAGAGAAGGAAAGCCACCAGCCCAAGGTCACACAGCTAGCACGTGGAAGAGCCGGGGCTCAACCGTATGTTTCTAAGCCCAGCGCGTCTCTGAGCCCAGTATGTTGGATCTTACTGTCCCCAGTGAAACGGGTCCTGCTATTATTTGATGATAATAATAATGATAACAATAATAATAGCAGTTACATCGCATTGAGCACTGGGTATACGTAAGGCCCTATAGTGTAGAAGCGTATTTTCTTTTTTGTTTGTTTGTTTGTTTCAAACACAGTCTCACTCTGTCGCCCGAGCTAGAGTGCAGTGGCGTCACCGTAGCTCACTGCGACCTCCCCGGCTCCTGGGCTCAAGCGATCCTCCTGCCTCAGCCTCTGGAGTCGCTGGGACCACAGGTTTGTGCCACCACGCTCAGCTGATTTTTCTGTTTTTTCTAGAGACCAGGTCTCGCTGTGTTGCTCGGGCCGGAGGCATATTTTCCTGATGTGATCCACTTTACAGATGAGGAAACTGAGGCTCCACGAGGTTAAGTAACCGCCTGGAAGTCACGAAGGTAAAGAGCAGGGGACAGAACTTGTACCGAGGCCTCCGTTTGAAGCAAGGCAGGACAAGGAATTGAGCCAGATGGGAACTTAGAGCCTGACCGGCCCTACCCTCTCTTCTTAGAAGGGGAAATCGAGGCCCCAAGGGCACGAGAACTGCCCTCGGCCCACACCGTTCCAGCTGGGACTTCATTTCCCTCTCAGGATCTTCAGCGGGTAAACTCTGGGCCCTTCCCCCCCCCGGGAGGAATTGGGGGAGAAGGAGCAGCGGGAGGGAGAAGATCTGAACAGGTACAAAGGGTGGGCTGCATGAGGGAAAGTGGTTAGACACTAAGCAGAACTTCCGGACCTTCTCTGGGAAATTTCTGAGACTCATCCAGGGGCTGTCCCTGCCGGCGAAGTGCCCTCCCGGAGCTCAAGGGCCAGAGACGGGACACTCTAGCCCTCCTCACTCGGGGTGCAAGGAGCAAGGGGGGAAGGAGGGGGTGGTCATCCTGGTTCCGCATCCTCCATTCCCGACACTGGAGGGAGGCTGCTGTGGGAGCTGGGACTTTCCTGAGCAGCAGAAGATTCTGGGAAATTAGAGACAGCTGCAGGGCGGGGCCGGCTCCCGGCCTCCCTTCCCTTCCCTCCCCCTGGTCGCCGCTGGCTCCCCAGGCGTGCTCTGCTCCCCGTCTCCTCCCAAGGAGGCCCCTCCACGCCGCGCCTCCTCCCCAGACCGTGCCCTCCACCCTCCACCCCTCCAGACCTCCTCCTCTCTGCCCGCCTTCCCC